TGTTTTTTTTTTTTTTTTTATCTTTCTCCTTTATCATTTGATCTTGTCAGCCACCACCATGCTGCCACCACGGCACCACCTCTGCATCATCACTTTGGACAATCATTTTGGAAAATGTACACAACCATCATTTTCCCTCTTAGAATTCTCTCTCACTCTTTCTTTTTCAACTCTCTCAGCCACCATTGTTGACTAACCAACCACCTTGAAAATATGTCTTCTCCGAGCAAAAATCGACAGGACTTTGATGAAATTGTGAACTCTTAAACTAATTTCGTTTGTCTTAATTAACTTTATTCATTTAGGGACTGGGATTATTATTTGGTTTACTATAACCACTAATGTTCTCTGCTCAAACTTATGAAACGCAAATTCAAAAGCAAACCAAAAAACTTAATTGCTTCATTCTCGAACCATAGCTAACTGACAAACTATTTTTTCCAAATAATTTCATTAATACATACAATAAACTCAACAACACAAATCATTTTTGATCCACAATTTCAGCAATACTTACTTTGGATGATGCTTGGATTTAAATTGGTGGGCAAATATTGAAATGTGTTTCGGTAGTCTTCTGGTGGTTGAAGAGCCAAGGAGGTTGAATAAGGCGGAGGTGGTTTCTATGGAAGGGGTTGGTGGGATTCCATGGAATGGAAAAAGAAGGGGGCGGTTGGGAAGAAGGTGACGGAGGGGGTGTTTAAATACATATAGTAGTATTTTTCTCCTTTTCTGTTTTACTCAAAAGCTTTTTTTCTTTTTGATTAGCCAGACTAAAGTGCCATATGGCATATTTCTATTTGTTATTTTTTACCACGTCATGACGAGTGAAATGCACGTGCTATATTTGTTTTACTGGCGGGTCATGAGGGGTTCAATAGACACACTTTGAATGATATTGGAGTGTTCAATAGGAACAATTTAAGTGTAAGTGTCAAAATGATACTTGGAGACAAGTTTAAGGCCCTGTTTAGGTATTTGGCCTTTTCAAAACTAAATGTAAGGTGTGATATAAGGAAAATTATAATTCAAATTGGGAAATATGAATACGAGGCGGTATTTCGGTTGTGATTCTTGTTGTATACGAGGCGGTATCTCGATTGTGATTCTTGTTGTATATGAGGCGGTACCTCGGTTGTGATTCTTGTTGTATACGAGGCAATATCTCGATTGTGATTCTTGTTGTATACGAGGCAATATCTCGATTGTGATTCTTGTTGTACATCTCATGCTGGAAAGAGAATAGGTTGAACTATTCTTGTTGCTTTTATTCTTCTTTGCTTATCAGTTTGTTTTGTATTTGACTAATTGTGATTCTCATTCATTGTTCCTTATCATTGTCTTTATGCTCACAGTTCTGTCATTTCTTTACATTATTAAACTGTTTCGTTATTATTCATTTCTCTGTTTTTCATTACATGTAGTTATTATATTTCCATTCCGTTTATCTTGTCCTAGTAGGTGTCTTGACCTGGTCTCGTCACTACTCTACCAAGGTTAGACTTGATACTTACTTGGTACCGTTGTAGTGTACTCATACTACGTTTCTGCACATCTTTTTGTGTAGATCCAGGTACATCTGCCCATACTGAACATTAGTGATTGATTGTTAGCTGCCTTCCGGAGATTTCAAGGTATACTTGCTCGGCGTTCGCAGGCCTTGGAGTTACCTTCCCTATCATTCATTTTGTTGTTTTTCTTATTCAGACAGTGTTGTAGTAGACATTCTAGATTATTCTGTAGAGCTTATGACTCAGTCCCACCGGTTTTGAAAAGAGTATTGTTGAGATCCTATTTTGGAACTTTATATGAGTTTAGTTTGCTTTAGTATTTCTGTTGATTATTTCTGTTAAATTATTATTAAATGTTAGACTTACCTAGTCTTAGAGACTATGTGTCACCACGACATCCTAAGGTGAAAAATTGGGATCGTGACAAATAGGAATAACATATTCTAGAAAAATGGCACGCGTACTCTAGAATATGCTGAACACTGGAAATATTGGAGGATCATAATTACAAAAGCTGCTTTCATATCATGAATTAAGAGATTTGCTCAAGTCCAGTTGTCCAAATACGGTAGAAACACCACAAAATAGTAGCAATTACACCTGAAAATTAAGAAGTCCAAACATACTAATAGATAATGAAGTCCTAAGGTGGCTTTATATACCTAAGGGTATAATTGTAATTTGATAAAGCTTATTGGGTTATTTGTTAAAATGTTAATAATATTAGGCAAACCAAGACCCGAACCAATAACATAATCGTTAAATAACACTAAACCATTATCGAACCATTAATTCAATACCCCGATACCGATAATCCAATAAGTTTTTTTTATTCGGGCTATTGATTTTACCCGATAGATGCCCAGCCCTAGCTCCAGTTAACGTTTTCTCCATTAATATTCAATCACTATAACATTATGTATATATAGCTATAAAATATATTGTAGCTAAATATAAAAATTTGCATATCTAAATACTTTAGCCACAAATATTTTTTTCGTAGCATTCGTAGCAAGAAGTGGCGTAACTAAAAGTTAGCTACAAACTTTACATGATCCATGGCTAAGGACTACTACTTATTGCTATGGAAATTTTATGTGTTCTAGCTGTGATGATAATACATTCTTGCCACGAAAAAGAAGATTATAGCAATAATTTTATTCTTTTGCCATGACAAATATAATGTATAGCTATCTTTATTTTGTAGCTACAAAGTGTTGTATTGTAGCAAAAGATTTGATTTGTTTGCCACGTGACTTTATATTTTGTTGCTATTTCTATAGCTTAGTTTCGTAGCAATAGTACTCGTATTCAGCTGCGGATCAAAAATTCATAGCAATAAATTGAAGTATTAACCACAAATATTTTCTTATTGCAGCTAAAAATTCATACTTTTAGCCATGTAATATATCTTATTATAGCAAAATATTTTCTTTATTTGCTACGAAAAGTAAAAAAACGTAGCCATGTTTAGCTACAAATTCAAAAGTGCATAGCTAAAATTTCATTCTTTTTTGCCACAAAGCATAAAATTGTTGCAAAAGATTCTTCATTTGCTATGAAAATAAAAATGTATAGCCATGTTTATACTATGTGACAATTGTACATATGTTTTGCTACGATTCAAGAATTCATAGCTACTAATTGAGAATTTTACCTCAAATACTGTTAGCCACAATAATTCATATAACGTAGATAAGAATCGTTTTTTGGCATGAAATATACCTTCAATTGTAATTATTCAATAAATACAATATTAAAAAAAATTAATAAATGTTCAATAATATCATTCAAAACAGTGAAATATTACGTTATTCAAACATATCAGTACGCTTTTACAAAAGAAATAATAATTATTCATCTCCCCCTCAATCTTGATACTTCCATCACTACTCCATAACCTGCAACAATAATTAAAAAAATATATAAGAAAATAGTACAACAAAGTATTTTCGCTGAAAAAGATAAATTTTACTTGTTAATAAGAATAATTTTTTGAAATGATAAATTAAAAAGATATTATTAGGTAGTATAATAAGTTACTTACGATCTGATTTGCATCATTTGGCCGCCGATTTCGAGCATCAAGCATTATTTGAAATTTTTTTTCCCATCGTTTTTCCATCTCCACTAGCTTATTATCAGTGTCTTTCTTGATTTCTTCAACTTTTTCATCAGCTTCCCTTTTAACTTCTTCGACTTGTTTCTTAGCCTCCCTTTTAATTTCTTCCACACGTTCATTTGCTTCTTTTCTGGTCAATTCTATTTGCTTTATAAGTTGTATCTTTGTTGGTCTACCTCCAAAATACTCACTGATATTCTTTTCGGGACCATATGCTCGAAGATATCCATGTTTTTCTGCCCCAAGTACTTTTTCAAAGATATCATCATCATTTAAAGAAATTTCTCCTTTTTGTTGCTCTTTTAATTGGTCAAATTGAACCTACAATCAATAATGCAAATTAATCATACATAAGAGCAAATGTATACTCTAAAAGGAGATAAAGATAAAATAGAACACATTGACATTACAATGACATCTTGTTGGAAAGCATCAACTTGTTTTCCTTTTTTTCTCTTGCGAGATTCCAAAAAAACTTCAACACGCGATGGAGCTTTTCCATTTTTTTTCTCCTGTGAAAATATTAATCATTTTCATCAATTGAATAAGATATGTGAATATAATTCTTATAACTTTATTCTAAAAAATTATCATGTTGTTCATACCATTTCATATCTAAGTCTTGCATAATTTTTGGTCCCACTATATGGAGGCAAGGAACGTTTCGATCTATTTGTCTTGTTTTGCGTGCTTTTCTTCTGCACGAAAGGTTAAAAAAAATTAATAATATTAGTTTCTACAGTATATAATAATTTAAAAATACCAAACAGATTAAATAAAATACCTGAAAGTCATCACTGCTCCAAAGGTTGACCAAATATTTCCATTCATTTACAGTGAGAAGTTTAGGCTTGTTCTGTAAGCGAAGTTGATAAGTTGCTTTTGAATCAAAATACTTATTTTTCAACTTGTGCCTATAGTCTCTGTAGAGGTCACTCATATGACCAAGAATTGCACCTTTTCTTCCCTCGGAGACATCAAAATTAAACTTTTCCTATAAAAAATAAAACATATCATTATAAAAGTTAGAACTATTGATTTAAAGCCAAACTTGCTTAGTATCTCAGATTGTCAACCCACCAAAAATTAAAGAAAATTATAAACTTTAATAGTTTACTAGTTTTCTTACCAAGATAATGTCCCACATGTGGTCGATCTTGCCTTGCTCTATTTCTTTCCAACCATTTACTTTTAATGGGCAACAAGTTCGGCTTCTAACTGTTTGACCCAAAAACCAAGTAAAATCGGTTGCATTCTCGCCAACAGCTTGATGATCCTCATCAAATTGAACGACCAATTTTTGTCCTTCCTATAAATTGATTATCTTCATGCATCGTGTAGGCCCTCTAGTTTTTCTTTTCACAACGTTAGTACCTACATTTAAAGATTACATAAATATACTTCACGTAAAAATATCAAAAGAATTGACAAAGATCAATAAAAGAAAAAGAATACCTATTGAATTTGCTGATTCATGTTCTTCCATAACTGTTTCACTCACTTGTTCAGACGAGTTCTCCCTAGAACTATTTTCTCCGAGAAAAGAACTAATAAAAATATCGTTTTTTCTAAGGGTATAAATATCAATTGACTTATCCTTATGCCTCTCATAACTTAGAAGCATATTCTTAACATCTAAATCATCACGACATTCCACTAATCCATCACAATCACTGATAACTCTATCACATCTCAAATAAACAAATTTATCTCCCTCAAGAATATTGAAGTTACAAAGCTTTTTCATTTCATCCAGCATATCAAAGAAAGCTATGAAATCAATATCAATGCTTGCTTTCACCAACTGCCCACTTACATATTTTCTAGAAGGAGAAAATATAAAATGGCCACCATAATGGAAGCTAAATTCCAACTCTCTTGCCATATTCATGTTTCCTAGAAAATTTATAATATAGGTTAGCTAGATGATTAAACAAACACAAAATGTTGTCTAATTGAAAATGAATTGATAAAGAATTCTATATTTTATAAAAGCTTTATTGCAATTACCCGAATAAACAACTTCTTCTATATGTTGTGTGGTTAAATCTTCTGTAACAAATGCCTTCTTGGAACTTTTCGGAGGTTCTGTCTCATGATCATCAGTCAATCGATTATTTCTTTTTCGAAGACCGTTTCTATCCATGTCTGATTATAAACAAGTATTTGTAAGACTTCAATATATTTCGTATAATAAGTATAAAAGCAAATGGTAGTTCTCTGAGATTAAGTAGAAGCTCAAGTTCTACTTATCAAGGGAACCCCTTCACAAATGCTCTCAGTGTAGAATCAAACCACATTGGCTCCAAGTGCAGAATATTTTAGTACTTCTCTTGTTGTGCCCATTCCACAACGTAACCTTTTTTTCGATCATTTTCAGTAATGGAACCGGTCGAACCCACAAAAAAGGCTGCTTACGATTCACCAAGTCCCAAACTATTTCCATATCAGTAATTGAAGCAAGATTTATAACTATTTATAATTAAGTAGAAATTCAATATGCAATTTTATCAAACTATAATTTTTAATATTAAAAATAAACTGAATGAAACAACTAAATTAGTATAATGATCATAAGTTTTTCTTAAAATAAAGATAACCATAGCGCAAACGGCACTAGTACTCATGTAATATTTCTCTAACATTAATAATAATATTCCCTTCCCCACACACACACAAAAAAAGAATATTAAATTCTCAACATAAAACGAAACTAGAATATTTTATTTTGTAAGACACTCAAATCTTGTAATTCATCCATAAAAACAAAAGAGTTAGTGGATAATAGTTCATCAAAGTTAAAGGAAAAGAGGCGTACCTTTGATGCAGGGGAAGAGGCGTACCTTTGCTCCCCAAATCTTGAGACTTTTAGTATTTTAGGGTTTTTGCCTCTTTTAGGTTATGTTTTGGCTCTAATAGGAAAAGAAGACTGTGATTTAGGCACAAAAAAATTAGAGGGAAATAATTTGGAGGGAACTTGTTTCTTTTGGTAACTCATATTTTATTTTTCAAATTGTGAATTCATGTTTCCCTCCTCGTAAAAATCAGTCCAAAAGAATTAGATAAGAATATTATTAATATAAACACATTGTTATTCCATATAATCTAATTATATTTATATGTTGTATAATTTATTAATATAATTATATTTTATTAACATAACTATTCTTGAAGCGCTTGATCAGGATAACATAACTATTTATTAATTAATATAACCCAAGATGTTATCTTTAAATTTAATAAGTAATTTTATGTTCTAAGACCTCGAAAAGTACCATTTATCATTCCTCGACTTGCGTGCGCAGTCCGAAAAAACTTTTCCGAAAAGTTTTCATGTGAAAAACGGATTAAAATATGAAATAGAGCTTTAAAACTCAACTGAGTTGACTTTGGTCAATATTTTTAGCAAACGGACCCGGATCAGTATTTTGACAATTTTGATAGGTCCGTATGGTGATTTGGGACTTGGGCGTATGCCCATAATCAAATTCCAAGGTCCTTAACCCGAAATATGGAATTTTGATGAAAACTTAAAAGCTTGAAAGCTTAATAATTTTTAAGAAATTATTGATGTTTGATTTATTGATCTCGGGTCCGTATTTTGGTTTCGAAGCCCGGTATAGGTCCACTATAATATTTATGAATTGTCTGCCAAATTTGGCGAGAATCGGAGTTGATTTGACGTGATTCGGACGTCCGGTTGTAAAAATATAAATTTTAAAGTTTTCTTGAAAATTTCCTTTGATTTGTTGTCCGATTCGTAGCTCTAGGTGTTATTTTGGAGATTTGATCGCGCGAGCAAGTTCGTATGATATTTTAGGACTTGTGTGCATGTTTGATTTGGAGCCCCGAGGGATCGGGTGAGTTTCGGATAGGCTACAGGATGATTTTGAACTTAGAAAATCTGGTTTTTGAACTTCTATTGTAATCTGGTGCATTGTGCTTCGCGATCGCGAAGCCATTCCTGCGATCGCGAAGAGTAAATTGTAAGTAGTGAGTTTTACCCTTCGCGTTCGCGAAGATAGGCACGCGATCGCGGAAGGTAAACTCCAAGTGCACTGCGAACGCAAGGGACCAGATGCGATCGCGTAGAAGGAAGGAAGGCAGGAGCTAGGCACGTCAATTGTGCTCCGCAATCGCATGAGAATTTATGCGATCGCGTAAGGCTGGAAAAATGTACTCCGCGATCGCATGAGCATTTACGCGATCGCATAAAGTTAAAAGTCTGGGCAGCCAAAATGAAATGAACCCGGGCAAAAGTTGATCTATGCGATCGCGAACGAATTTCCGCGATCGCGATGAGTAAAAATCCCAGAAACAGAACTTAAGTTCTGGAAATGGGGTTTCGACCCATTTTCAACTCTTTTCCATTTTTGAGCTCGGGTAAGGCGATTCTTAGGTAATTTTCACGGGAAAACATTGGGGTAAGTGTTCTTTATCCTATATTGATTATATTTCATGATTTCATAATCATTTATATCATGAATCCGTGAATTTATGGAAGAAAAATCAGTTTTTTATAAAATCTTCCAAAAACGAAAAATTAAGATTTGAAGGTCCATTTGATATCGGAATTGGACAATTTTTATATGGTTGAACTCGTATCGGAACGGGCATTCGAATTTTGTGAGTTTTTTCGGGATTTGAGACGTGGGTCCCACTGTCGAATATTTTAATAAATTTCGGATTTTTATTCGGAAAATTTATAAATTCATATGGAATTAATTCCTATGATTAGTATTGAATATATCGAATTGTTTGTGAATAGATTTGAAGTTTTCGGAGACAAAATTAAAAGGAAAAGATCTGGTTGAATAATTGATTGAAATTTGCAAACTGAGGTAAGTGTCGTGGTTAACCTTGACTTGAGGGAATAGAACCCTTAAATTATTTGTTATGTGAAAAGCATGTGAACGACGTATAGGCGAGGTGACGAGTGTCTATACGTCATGAAATTAATTGTTTGCATGCTTACTTGAAAAATTATAAATTATTTTAAATCATAAATTAATTATTATAATAATTGTTTCTCTCTTATTCTCTGTCAAATATTAATTCTTGAATTCCTGCATTAATTTTTATATGCTATTTGTATTTAGACACCGTTATTTTTATGGATTATTTCACTATATTTTAAACTTTGCTTCCTCTTTTATTTTTTTGATTATTAATAATTTAAAAGTTATTTAAAAATTAGTTAATATTATTCTAACGTTGGCTTGCCTAGCAAGTGAAATGTTAGGTGCTATCATGGTCCGAATGATGGAATTTCGGGTCGTGACAGATACTTAGTGAAGTTTTATTAAAATTTGGTAGATTAGTTAATCAATATTAATTAGAAATGATCACCCTATTTATTTTAATTATATGTAAAATTTACTAGTAAGCTATTAAGCTCCTGCGAAATTAAGCCGAATAGAATGATGAACACCTCTAATTACGCTAAAAGGTATTATTTTGATTAAAAAAAAAGGTCTGAGTAAAATAACTATTCTCGGAGCATTTGTCAGGATAAATCTTGAGTGATACTTAGAGAAGTTTTATTTAAATTCGATATAGGAGTTAATAAATATTAACTAGAGATGATCATATGGTGTATAACTATCACATTAAAGAACTTTGAGTCTAGTTTCCAACGCATCAAGCCGTTCGTCATTTGGATATGTATACAGAAAGTTATGGCCATTTTACTGGACCTATGTCATATGCGTGCCTAGATGTGCGGCCACGCATATTTGGGACCCACGGAGGTCGTGTACATGTTCAATTATCTGTTAAATTACTATTTTGTACTCAGTCACGATTTTACTGCACACAAACCCAGTAAGCGCAGGTACCTACTGAGTGCGAGTGCGAGTGTCGAGTACTGAGTGATTGTGATGAATGAGTGATTGTGATGAAAGAGTGACTGTGAGGAAAGAGTGAATGGGAGAACTGAGTGACTGTTACTCTGAGAAGATGAATTGATTCCATTATTGCTGCATTTCAGCTGTCATTATTACTGTTTTGAAAAAACTCTAAAAGACATTATTTATGTTTCAGTCAAATTTGATATGAAATTACTGTGGAGTTTTAAATGTTGAACTTGAAAGCATGCCTACCTTTTCATGTTGGAAATTACTGTATTTGGACTTAGCTATGAAGCTCGTCACTACTTTCAGTTCTTTATTTATTATTGTTACTTACTGAGTTGGTTGAACTTGAAAGCATGCCTACCTTTTCATGATGATGTCGGCTTGCTAGTATTGAGATAAGCGCCATCATGACGGGTGAGATTTCGGGTCGTGACAAATTCAGATAATGTTTCTCCAATTATTTGATTTCTTTACTAATTAATTAAAATAAATTGTTAAAAATAGTTTAAATTATTCTAACGTTAGCTTGCGTAGCAAGTGAAATGTTAGGCGCCAGCACGGTCCCGAAGTGGAAAATTTCGGGTCGTGACATTATTTAATTATATTTGAAACTTACAAGTAAAATCCCGTAAAAATTGAACTAAACGATGGACATTTCTAATTACCCCAAAAGGTATTATTTCGATATACAGATCATAGTAAAATAGCAATTGATTAGAATGGATTTTGAGTGATTCTTGATGAAGTTTTGTTTAAATTCGATATAAAAGTTATTCAAATTTAATTAGAGATGATCGCGCTAATTATTTAAATTATATTAGAAACTTACAAGAAAGATCATGCAAAATTAAGTTGAATCCAAGTATGAACACCTCTAAATTCTTAAATCTTAACATATATCAAAGTTGCATATTATACACTTTGGTCCACAATACTTTATATATGCATCCCTTAGAGCAGGACGTACAATCCCCATTAGCATCACTCTATTTGATCTAATTGACCGTACCAAAAGATCCCTAAACCCTCATCTCTCAAAATTAATTTCTCTTCCAAATTTCTCTCAAAGACGAAGCCTCAACCTCATTTTTCATCTCCACTGGCATCAACTGGCAATATCACGGCAAAGTAAGTTTATTTTTTTCTGTCTTCTGAAGTTTCTTTCTTCTTTTTCGCTTAAAACCAGAATCTCTTTCTCTGTTTCTTTCTAGTTGAAGGTTCACTGTTTGAGCTGTTTAGAATGCTGATTGTTGTGGTGAATATTGATTTAGTATTGAATGCTGATTGTTATTGTGTTGGAGCAAAAATTAAAATTTTGTTTATTGGGTTGCTATGGCATATGCCCTGCAACGCTAAAAAAGTACACGAAAATCGACCCGATAATTCTAAGGTGATTTTAGTAGCAATTGCAATAGATTCTTTCATCCAGTGCGTAATACCATCCAATTTTTCAGTTTTCACTATCACAAACATCTTACTGTAAGAATTAGTACTGTGGTTATGGATTGCTTTCAAATTATGTATTTGGAAAATGTTTCTTTTTTTTTTTCTTTCTCTTGGCACTCTTTTTTTCTTGTGCCCCAAAATTTATTTGCTTTAGATTTATTCTCTATCTTGTGTAAAAGTTGCTACCTAATTCAAGATATATAAGTGAGTAACTGATAACTTCAGTTACATTTATTTTCCAAATTGCACGTTGTAGCTTTCTGAATGTAGCAAAATTGGCCTCTAAATTGTATAACCGTGGTTAATTGATCTTTCTTTTTTTAAGCATCTTGATCTTTTTTTTTCTTTGTAGGAAATTTTGAAATGGACAAGACTTGGATGCGATGTAATGATAGATTGAGCGATGTGTATTTAAAAGGAGTTGAAGATTTTCTTCAATTTGCTTTTAAGCACACAGAACTAGAAGGTGAAATTCCTTGCCCTTGCAAAAAATGCAACAATGTTTTTCACAAAACTAGAGACGAAGTAAAGGAACATTTAATAATTTTTGGGATAGTCAAGGGGTACACTCGTTGGCTTTTTCATGGAGAATTTGCACCCAAAGAGCAAATCACTAACAATAATGAAGTAAGACAAGAGGAAGTAAGAAAAGAGCAAGGTGAGGATATATTTGAAATGATTTATGATGCCACTGGCCCTGTTATCACGAATTGTTCTGGTGGGGTAGATCCTTCTGAACCAGCTTCGGAATTTTCCAAATTACTGGAGGATGCTGCACAACAACTTTATCCTGATTGCGAGAAATTTTCCAAGTTGTCACTAATTGTGGAGCTGTTTCAAATTAAGTGCCTTTATGGATTGAGTGATAAAGCAACTGACTGCATAATGAAGTTAATTAAAAGAGCACTTCCTTCTGGTGAAACTTTATCGGAATCATTCTATGGAGCAAAAAAAGTGATTCGAAGTTTAGGTCTTCATTATGAAAAAATACATGCTTGCGAAAATGACTGTATGCTGTTTTGGAAATATAATGCAAAAGCTGAATCTTGCTTGGTTTGTGGCGAGTCTAGGTGGAAATCAAGAGAAGGTCAAAAAGCTAATGGGGCTAATACAGAAAAGAGTGGGAGCAAAATTCCTCGAAAAGTTTTACGTTACTTTCCTTTGAAATCAAGATTGCAAAGGTTGTTTACGTCATCGGCAATAGCTTCAGACATGACATGGCATCATGATCAATGTTTGAAAGATGGGTTTCTTAGACATCCAGCCGACTCAGATGCATGGAAGCATTTTGATACATGTAATCCGGGCTTTGCCAGAGATCCTCGTAATGTTAGACTTGGATTAGCATCTGATGGGATAAATCCTTTCGGCAATTTAAGTGTTTCTCATAGCACGTGGCCAGTAATTATTACTGTGTATAACCTACCCCCTTGGATGTGCATGAAACAACCATATTGCTTCTTGTCTTTGTTGATAGCTGGCCCTAAAGCTCCTGGAAATGATATCGATGTATACTAAGAACCTTTGGTTGATGAGTTGCAAGAATTGTGGTATAATGGAGTCAATACATATGATGCTTCGAGAAAGGAGAACGCAGCACTCTTATGGACTATAAATGATTTTCCAGCCTATGTTGTCTGGATGGAGCACAAAGGGAGCTTTGGCTTGCCCTTCATGCAACAAAGAGACTCCGTCTACTCGATTAAAGTATGGCCGTAAGTTCTCTTACATGGGTGCTCGTAGGTTTTTATAGTCTAATCATAAGTGACGGGGAAATAAACGTGATTTTAATGGGGAAGTAGAAAGAAGACCTACTCCAAAAATTCTCTCTGGAGATGATATTTTAAACCAGCTGGATAGCTTGGAAGACTTTAAATTTGGTAAGACCCAAAAGAGAAAAAGACACAAAAAAAGTAAAGGCATTCATAATTGGAGGAAGAAAAGCATCTTTTTCAAACTTCCTTATTGGAAAAATAATCTAATACGCCACAATTTAGACGTCATGCATATTGAAAAAAATGTGTGTGACAATATTATTGGGACGTTATTAGATATGGAAGGAAAAACGAAAGATAATTTGAATGCTCATCGTGATTTGAAAGAAATGGGTATAAGAAAAGATTTGCATTCAACTCAAAGAGATGGAAAGTGGTATTAACCAGCAGCATGCTATACTTTATCACCAGATGAGAAGTCTAAAGTATGCAAGTTCTTGAAAACTATTAAGGTTCCAGATGGATATTCTTCCAATTTATCACGGTGTGTAAATTTAGAGGATCGTAAAATTTATGGAATGAAGAGTCATGACTCTCATATTCTTTTGGAACAACTGCTCCCTTTTGCAATCCGCGGAGTCCTGCCAAACCATGTCTATGATGCTATTACTGAGTTAAGTATTTTCTTCAGAGAGTTATGTTCAAAAACTGTAAGAGTTGATGTGTTGGATCAACTTGCAACTCAAATTCCAATTACATTGAGCAAAATAGAAAAACTATTTTTGCCAATATTTTTTGATATTATGGTGCACTTGGTCATTCATCTTCCAAGAGAGGCTAAGCTTGCTGGACCTATACAATACAGATGGATGTACCCAATAGAGCGGTATATTTTTGTATTTTATAATTTCGATTTAATTTTATGTGGCTTGTTAATTTTTCATGCTAAGCGTTTATCTGAATGTTATATTATGTAGATTCTTGCGGAAACTGAAATGTTATATTCGCAATAGAAGTCGACCTGAAGGATCTATTGCAGAAGGGTATATTGTTGAAGAAAGTCTAATATTTTGTTCAAGATATTTACATGGAAGTGGGAAATGGTATAATCGAGTGGAAAAGAATGATGAAGATGATCATGTTGAATCATACTGTGGATTGTCAATATTTGAACAAAAAGGTGGCCCTTTGTTTAAGAGATACATCTAGAAATCTTGAAGAGCTTGAGCGAAAACAGGCTCATCTTTATGTTTTGAGAAATTATGAAGAAGTTCAACTATTTTTACGGTATACTTTCTTATGGTATTGTATATAGCAATTTGATTTTGTTAGCTTTTTCTCAATTATTATTTTAGTTTTGAAACAGGGAGTACGAGCAGAGTAATAGTGACATGAACTTTGAGGATTGGTTTTTTCATCGAGTAAGTTTTTACTGTATTCTTTATTCAATTTGTCATACTTATAATTTAATTTAGTTTATCTTTTGAGTGTTTATGGTTGTATGGTGGGTGCTGTTGCAAGAATTTTATTGTTCTTCCCATCTTTGTAGTCCTAGCTGTTTTATGTGATAATCTGAATCAAATTGGCAATTTTTCGTAAATGTTGGCTTGTCTCTAGTCTTATTTCTTTAGTTGTATGGGCATTGCATTACATAGTCCAAACTATCCTATTAATATTAAGTGTTGTGTTTGTTACTGAATCCGCCAGTTTTAGGAAGTTCTTTGCCAAAATTATTCCTCTTGTTATCTTCTCTATCCCGCTTTAGCATCATTAGATTATTTAATTATTTATTTTTGTACAGATCATGCAAATGCGCAAGGAAGGAAATTCACATATAAGTTGCGGGTTGTATTCTTTGGCTAGAGGTCCTTTTGATGGAATTCAAAGATTCAAGGGGTATGAAATAAATGGTTTTTGGTTTCATACTAAACAACTCGAAGGTAATAGGGTGAGGCAAAATAGTGGTGTTTTAGTAAGAGGAGTAACGAATGGTCAAAATACAAATTACTATGGTGTTCTAACCGAAATAGTAGAACTTCAATACTTCGAAGGTAAACGAATTGTATTATTTAAATGTGATTGGTGGGATGTTGATCACATTGGAAAAGGAGTAAAAATAGATAAGCATGAGTTTGTTAGTGTCAATACTAACCGAAAGTTAGCAACAAATGAACCATTTGTGCTTGCATCTCAAGCAGAACAAGTTTTTTATGTCAAGGATAATCTTCATTCCAATTGGTCAGTTGTCTTGAATGGTCATTCGGCTTATTTTACTGATGGTACTGTCAATGAAGAAACGTTTCAACAAGATGCTCAAGATTTCTCTTGTACATTTGAGGAAGATGAAGACTTTATGTATTGGAGAAGAAATGATCTTGGTGTTATCAGCACTGATGTTACCTTAGCTGATGATATTATTGAAGACATCGAATCAGAACCTGAAACTGATGATGAAGATTTGTTACTCTAAATATTTAGAAGTCTTATATACATATTTGTTTATACTCAGTTAATGTTAAAACTTTTACTTATTTGCTTGAGAGATGATGTTTCATTCTTTATTATTTTACTAAATTTATGAATTACTTCAATATACTAAATTATTTTGATTGAATATGAATTAGTATTTAATAGTGTTATGTTGATAATTATAGTTTGAATGAGTTCAAATGTTCTATTCTATAGGGTGTATGTTGAAGGATTATCTAGTTACAACTTACAAGGTTGATGAAATTATGGTGATACGCCACTATTTATGAAGTATTATTAGGAAGAGTGCTCTTAATAAGCGGAGAGATAACATCATTCAACAGTATTTTCTACATTATGTAGTCTCTTATTAGAAAATCTTTTAATAGGATTGGGGAGGTGAATAGAGATAAAAAAGAGAGAAAACTTGACCTATAGTGTTCCCTTGCAACCAAACTATCGCTCAGTTAATTCGGCCGTATACGACAATTATTTTATGCTCTAAATAATTCGACAACTGCACACTTTCCGCGTGAGAAATGGGAAGGAGTGCACTCTCTTGTCCTTACACTTTTTTCTTCTTCATAGTCAACACAATTGGTTATTGTGATTTCCTTTCTTTTTCTACTTCTGCATCACCAGAAAATTTTATTTTCATTCTAAATATTAGACTCCCGTTTTCATAGATTATAATTAATTGTTTCCAAAAAGAAATTAAAAATATTGTTTGTTCATGAAATTTAATTAATTTTTGAAAAAAAGAATTG